TTGAGTATTTGCCTTCCTCCACACAACTACCCGTCCATACTCTTGAGTCCCACATAATTAGTATCCCCCCACTACTACCATCAGCTTCAGAATACCCACATTTCATCCATCTTCTAGCAAAAAAAATAAAATTCTCATTGCTATCTAAGTCTTTGCACAGCTTTCTGAAAGTATTCATAGGGCATTGATGTAAGCTGTTTTGAGGTCTTTCGTGTTCCTTGAATTTGTTTAAATTTGTCTGATGTAGTTGTTTAAAAGTTAAGCCAATTAGTTAATCATCACTGTTTTTGCTTATGCTGTGCAACAGGATTTGGGCCAACAGGCAGTCAGCTGCAAGATCAAAGGAAAGGAAAATGAGATATATAGCAGAGCTTGAGAGAAAAGTTCAGACTCTGCAAACGGAAGCAACTACTTTATCTACTCAGTTGACCCTATTGCAGGTGTATATCAGTTGCTCTCATTACCCAGTTATTGTTTGTGTTCTTTCCACTTTTTATTTCTGTTATTGGAAACATGTTGAGTGTGGTTGAAGTGATGGAAGTAGATAAGTGCTTGGTCTAGAATCTGCAGCATCTGCTTGCACATGGAAAAATGTACAGATATATGTATCTTCAACCTTTTTCTCATGTATAACATAACACTATTGGTTTTGATATGCTTTTTTTTTCCACATGAAACAGAGAGATACAAATGGCCTGAATTCTGAAAACAGTGAACTTAAACTGCGTTTACAAACAATGGAACAACAGGTGCACTTGCAAGATGGTAAGAATCTGAGCATGACTTCTTTTAGTAAACTTTTTGCCCATAACCACCTTCTCTTTTTATCTGTCTGAATAATGGTTGCCGTTTCTCAATGGGAGTGTCTTTAGTTCAAGTGTTCGACCATTCAAGATGATTCAAAGTGGATTCATTGTCAACCGCAAGTTAATATCTGGCTGTATTTAGGCTTCGTTGGTTTCAAGAATTTCCTCAATTTCAGAAGAAAGTAAAATCAATTTTGATATACTTCATCATTTTCATATTGGGTGTGGTATTTGCGTTTTAGTGGTTAAAAATCAAGTAATTCTGCCATATTCTCATCTTATTGTGCAAAAACCGAGACAACATGAATTCCAGTTTGACCTTACAATGTCAAACATAGTTTGAATTTGGATCTGGTTGACGTAGATATAGGAATATTATATATAGTCCAAATAATTTTGAAGTTAGTACTTCTTTTTTGAATTGTAATAGTTTGTTGTGGAGGTTAGATAGTTGCAGATTTCAGATGTTAGAACTTCCAAAGCTTTTGTTTCTCATAACATTATCCTGTGGTTATAGAAGTGAACATTGAGAAATTCATATTGTTAGTGTCTATTCCTCCACTCCCAATCCCCTTCAATCACTTGCTCTGCTGTGACCCTAAGTGCAAACTCAAATAGAAAGAAGTCATTGCCCATTTCGTAGATGTTCAAGCTGTGTGTTTGTTTCCACAGTCGATTAGCCCATCCCCTGATTTCTGACAGGGTCACTGTCTCTCCGGCTCTAGGTTCAAATGCACCCACCAAACTTCTCTTTAGCACTTCACTGTACTCCTCTGGATCATCGTTGATAAAGATTGTATCCCCTTTTAGAGCTGCCTTCTCTTTTTCAGCAAGTTTTGAATCTTTATTAGCCCATTTAATGCTCCTTAGCACTGTAGCATATGGAATGTCTCTGCTCACCAGCCTGTGATTGCCCCCATTCATTAACTTTCTACGACTATTAATGAATCTTCCAACCTTTTCCGCAAAGCTCAACCACCCTGAGTTAAAATTTAATTCAGGGATGATGATAACTTCCCTCCTCCTGCCTTTTACATTTATTAAACTGATGTAGCGCCCATATTTATTGTAGTTCCTCGAACAAAAAACTTCTGAGAACCCATCTTTTTTCTTCCATCTCTTCACCATATTCCCCCTTGTCATTGATGCCTCCCGTAAAATCTGCACGATCCATTCCATTGACTTCTCATTAAAAGTCGTTCTCGTCATAGATTTTCTATTTCTTTCCGTCCAGTCGTACCATGCTCCCGCCGTACCAGGTGTTCTTGTGATGTCGTAGGACTTGAATCCAGCTGCAAAGTAAATACTATCTTCCATTTGAAACTCGCCTGCAAGGACAGTGGGAAAGAAAAGAAAAAAAGAAAAGAGAAATGAAATCCGGTGATCAGAAGGATCACCGGAGGACGTAGGAGAGGGGGGTCCTGCTGATTTAGACCATTCCTCGGTTATTGTGTCTGAGAGCTAGGAGAGGGGGGTCCTGCTGATTTAGACCATTCCTCGGTTATTGTGTCTGAAAGCTACTAGATCCTGGTATGTATTTTTAACACTTAGTTCACAACTTCACATCGCCTTCATTTTGTTGATTCTCTTCATAGTGCTCTTGGGTATTGGAAATAGACACATCATATAGGTAGGTAGCCCATCTAAAACTGACTTGATGAGAGTCAGTCTACCCCCTAGTAATTGGTACTGACTTTTCCATCTTGATAGCCTGTTCTCACATCTCTCCATCACCTCATTCCATACCTCCAACTCCTTGTTCTTGGCCTCCACAGCCAATCCCGGTACTTTGTAGGCAGAGAAGCTAACTGACATCCTAGATTCTCAGCTGGACTTTGTTATTTGTCTACCTGATTAATTGGGAAGAGGAAACTTTTCGACCAGTTAACATGAAGCCCTGAAATGCCCTCAAATATTGTAAGGATTGCTCTCAAGTGTTTGATTTGTGCCACTTGATGAGAGTCAACCTACCCCCTAGTAATTGGTACTGACTTTTCCATCTTGATAGCCTGTTCTCACATCTCTCCATCACCTCATTCCATACCTCCAACTCCTTGTTCTTGGCCCCCACAGGCAATCTGACATCCTAAATTCTCAGCTGGACTTTGTTATTTGTCTACCTGATTAATTGGGAAGAGGAAACTTTTCGACCAGTTAACATGAAGCCCTGAAATGCCCTCAAATATTGTAAGGATTGCTCTTAAGTGTTTGATTTGTGCCACTTCTGATAGTCGGTAGGAAAAAAAAAGGTGACATAGGGTCTCCTTGTCTAAGACCTCTATGGGATTGAAAAAATCCTTCAGGCTTACCATTTATAATGAGTGAGAATGTTATATTCGAGATGAAAAACTGTATCCAGTAATTCCATTTCTCTTCAAAGCCCATGTCTTTCAAAAAATTTAGCAAGAAATTCCAATTAACATGATCATAAGCTTTTTCAATATCTAGCTTGCATATGATGCATGGTTTCTTCTATTTTACCCTAGAGTCGACCATTTCATAAGCCAGCACAGCAGCATCCATGATTTTTCTTCCTTTCAAGAATGTCATTTGATGTCCATCAACTAGCTTCCCTCTAACTATTTTATAACTATTTTCAATCTTTCAGTGATCAGCTTAGAAATGATCATGTACAGCCCTCCAATTAAGTTGATTGGTCTGAAACCCTTTCGAGCATCTTCTCAAGAGGCGACACTAAACAATTGATATTTCACTTTATCGTAATCTTTTTTTTTTATTCCTTTGTTCATATATATATATATATATATATATATATATATGTAGTTTTTCTCCCTTTGCGCCTTTTTTCACTAAGTCCACGTTTTATTTGCACTTGACGCACCACCATACCTTGGAGCTTTTTTGTGCTTTTTGCTTTTGATAACACTGATTACAACTTCAACACTGTGAGGCACTTGCCTAGGGCTGGCTCTGATCATAGACCCATGCTGCTGAAATGTGATAATGAGCAAACTACTGGAAAGATGTATTTCAAATTCCTGGATTTCTACACAACACAACCTGAATTCCATGAGATTGTGAGTAACGAATGGGATCAAGAAATTGAGGGTAATCCTATGTGGAGATTACAACAGAAGCTCAAAGAACTGGGACAGAGATTATCTTAATGGTCTAGAGAGAAAATCGGAGATGTTCATTTTCAAGCTTATGTATGGGAGGCCAAAATGCAATTATTGAAGAATCAGATGTGCTTGTAGATATGGCAACCAGAACAGATTCTACACAGGAAGAATGGAGCAGCATATTATGTGGTACCTCAAAGCTGCTAGTGAATAGAACTTTTCCTAACTGCAAGATGGAATTCCAATGGAATCAACTATGTGAAGAGGTGGAGAGGCTTAGACCAAAGGTTATCATCAGGTAGGTGACTTGGAATATGCCTCAATCAGGGAAGATCAAAATTAATACAAATGGGAGCTACTTGGAGCAAACTGGAAAGACTGGCATTCGTAGTGTGGCAAGAAATGATGCTGGAAATTTTCTGTTTGCCTTTGCTACCCCAATACAGTGCAACAATTATCATGTGGCAGATGCCATGTCAGCCAAATATGCTGCGCAATGGTTGAAAGACAATGGCTTGAGGCAGGACACTATTGAGCTTGACTCTATGATTATGGTAGATACGTTGAGGAGCAAGAACACTAGCAATCTCACTCTCAATCCGATTACTGAGGATATCTTTGCCCTGGTGGATCACACAAAGGCAACTTTACTCATTGCTATCGGGAACCCAATTAGGTGGTAGACTATCTAGCAAAGTGAGATTTTTCTTTGGAAGACCATCTTTTTGTACACAATGTAGATCATCTACCCGAAAGGGTCAAAGGTCCTAATAGATTGCTTGCAATCAGTATTTGTATATCAGGAACCCCCACCCCACTCCCTATCTTTTGTGTCTTTCCAAAAAACGAAATCTTTTTCTAAAAAAATCTCGTATGAAATAATACATAGTTTCCCTCTAACTTAAGTAGGTACAATTCATAAGGAAAATTAAAGTAAGAACCTCACATCCTTATAATAATGTATAATTCTAAAAGAAGAGTAAATCTCGACATATAGCAAACCAAACAACAACCCCCAATGGATACCCAGTAATTAATTACTGTAACATGAATTTTCATAAACTATGCTAAGATCAGGAAGCTAAGAAAGTCCAATTATCAGTATTTTTACCTGGAAATTGACAATGGGAAAGAGGGCTATAAAGGCAAGCGAAGCCAATTTCTTCAGAAACTTCAGCTCACATGCTAATTTGTTTTCCTTTTGGGCAAATGGGTTGTCTTCTTTATACACCTAAACAATCAAAGCTGCTTATATACCCAAAAACTACAAAGAAAGTGAGAAAACTAAGAACTGGGTAATTCTGAAATTGTGCATTGCAGAAACAAAATGCAATTTTTTGCTGTTTTATTAGGGATTTAAGAGGTGTACGTTACCTTTGTAGGTCTTGCCAAAGCATCATAGAGAAGACCGCCATTTTCTTTTGGCTTAGTGAAGGGCTTCTTCTTCTGCTGACAGTTGGATTATTGCAGTGTGAATATAGATTTAAGTAAAGTGCATATTTGGTACATAATGTTTTGGGAAGTTCAACTTGATCCCTAAAATGTTTTATTCATTTCAATTCCATCCTTAATGTTTTGAATAGGATCACCTAATTAGGTTGGTCTAAACTTTGAGTTTTAGGTGGATTATTTTATTAATTAAAAAATAAAATTATTAAAGGGAAAGAGGGTGTGCATTAATGATTGTGTGTAAAGGCGGATTCCGAATATAAAGATGGTTAGTGTTATTATTTTATTTATAAAATATATCTAGCAATAGGGAGAAAGATTGAATAGTAATAATAGAATGGTTGGTTAGTGTTTTGTTTATTCAATTAGGTTTTCTATTCATGAATAGATAAGTTCGGTTTTTATTTAGTTATTACTTTAATTTAATTATATTCTTTAAAAAAATTGTAAAAAAATATATATATATTGAAAGACCGTTCTTGATTAGAAATTTTCTCAAAAAGTAGCTTAATACTCTTTCTATCTCAAAAATTAACCGGCATTTGATAATGTATCTCATTATATTGATAAGGAAAAAATTGCAACTTATTATCATATAGTTATTAAATATCTAAATTTTAATTTTAAAATATAAGTTAATTTAACCAACTTTCAAAGATTAGTTAAATCAACTTTCAAAAAATGAAAAGTATCATATAAGTGTCTATTATGAAGGAAATAAATTTTTATTATGTTTAATTATTTCTTTATGTCTACCATAAACATAAATTTAATATCAAGATTTAAGATTCTAAAATCTTCACACACACCCGAATAAAAATATAGTGTATTTTTTTTTTCATGAGAACAAATTAAATTCATACTTATAATTTTATAGTTACCTGAACTTAAATTTACCCTAATTAAATCATCACCGCCTAATAAATCACATATGGGAATTTTTCTATTTGACTTGGAGATTAGTGATAATACATTTTAAGTATTTGCGTAAGAAAAAACTATATATTTTATCATGTAAAAATGTTGAGTTCTTTTTTGTTTATTTTCTACATGTATGTTTGAAAGGATACGTCTTGTTCTAATCGTACTTTTGGATGATCTAAAAAATCAACGATATTCTCTATAGATTTGTACAACACTTCACTAATAATTTGATAACAATTTTCAAAATTATAATGATGATAATATATCAGATGAAAATCAAAAGTTTCAACACCTTTAGTAAAATATAACGAAGAAACTATATCATATGATGATTTAGCCATATGATCACATATTGTTTGGACTAGTCATTCGAGTCCTCAATGGTGTCAACATCAACATCTTTGAAGTTCCAAAAGTGGGTGCTTTTGAATCCTTGTTTGGTTTGGGATCACTTCAACCTCACACATTATTTTTAAAGTTTTAAATAATTTTAAATAAAATTATTTTTCACTATTCAACCAAACACCACAAAAGTATTTCTATGATACTAAACACCTAAATAGTTTTAATTCTAATTTGTATAGAGACGTTTATATTTTAGAGGGGAAGCATAGAGTTATAAGTATTAAATGGTTAACTTTACAAATGACCTGCTTTCAAGTGTTATTTATGAACATTTAATTTGCACGAACGGAGTGGGCATAAGAGTTGGAGTAGCTGTGATTTGATTTTATACCCTTTATAACAAATTTTCTTATGTAAACTAAAAGGTTCAAAAAAAATTAAAATCAATAATTTGAAATACCTATGGTCAAGTTAAATCTTCCAGTCTAATGTGAAACAAAGATAAATTTATTATTTTCAAATAACTAAACATCAATTTTTAAAAGTTATTTTTGCTAGATTGAACCTTTTACTCTCAAGTGTGATGGATAACTATCCAAGTGGATTTGTAAAGGAAAGATCTATAATTGAGAATGTTCTTTTAATTCAAGAAATTGTCTAAATATTAAATTTGATAATATTGGAGGAAATATAATCATTCAATCAACCATCTTGTTTATGCAAATAACATTGTCATCTTCTATACAGACAAAACCAAATTCATTGAGTTTTTCATGAAATTAATATAGAGATATGAGAAGACCTTTGCTCAAACCCAAGATATGATTAGTGGTACGATTGATACGAGTAATGATATAATGTTAAACGAAATCTAATTCAAATTTTAGTCAACTTGCCAAAATGTGCAAGTGATCATACATTACTCTTTTGACCAAAACAAGAAATGAGATGCAAAGCACTATTATATTTGACACAAAAAGAAAGGTCAACAAATGCAAAAATTGAATTCACAAATAGAACTCAAAACATAAACTTAAACAAAAAACATGTATTGCAAACATAAGATGAAGACGACAACAAAACAAAACAACAAAGCCCCAACCCCTTAATCCACAAAGATCAAAGTTCCTAAATGATTATATATAATTGGAATTAGAGGAAGCTTAATTATTTTTCCTTCTCCCAAATGATATTGTTAAGAGAATAATCAATATTATTCTTGGTAATTCTGAATTAAATAATTGTGCAATCTGAAATGACACTTATGACAACTGCAGATCATTAATATCAACTATCCAAAAACGAGCTTCATCAACCAGGTCTGGCACAACAAGATTCCTTTCGAAATATCTTGAGCTTCTTTGGTGGTCCTTTAGGCATAAAAAAACCATGCCATGATTTAGAAAGTACTCTACAAGCTTGTTGGAGAATCAAAGCATTAAATGGAATACATAAGTGCTTCCTCAAAATCATTCTATAGTGATTTGTTGGTAGCTAGGGAAGAGCTTTTGTTCTTGCAAGTTTAATTTGGTGACCCTATTATTATCAGGTGATATCTAGTACTCATAATTTTTCTAGATTTAGTACTTCTCTAGCCTGCATCGAAATAGTATTTTATCCATGGATGTCTAATCACTTGTTGCTTAATTATCTTTCTTTTTTGCTTTATTCTTTTGAGACCCCAAAGTCTCACTCATTGAGATCTCTATTCTCTTTCTGTTATCGTCATTAAATTTTGTTTATTAAATCGAATGTCATTAGAATTAGCAACAGGGAAGTATGTAGCATATAGTGAATGTTTTTTGCACACTTGACCAATAATTTGGCAACAACATTAGCATTTTATATGAGAATATGATCCAACTGTTATCATATTTCTGTGTACAACCATTGCAAGGTATTTAAAACAAAAAGGATAAAATTAAAATTGTCACTTGGTCCCTTTTTTTTCAGAAGCTAGCTATGCAGATATTAGTGGCTGATACGAATAATGATATAATGTCAAACTAAATCTTATTCAAATTTTAGTCAACTTGCTAAAATAAACAAGTGGTCATACATTACTTTTTTTTACCCAAAAAAAAAGCAAGAAAACCCACTTATTTCATTTGACAAAAAGAAAGTACACCAAACACAGATACTGAAATCACAAAAAGGACTAAAAACATAAACTTAAACAAAAAAAAAATTGTTGCAATAAGCATAAGACGAAGACAACAACAAAACAAAACCATAAAGCCCCAACCATGGTCTCTCAAAAACCTAAAGCCTAAGGTCTTAGTCAAGCTGCTCGACCTCTTGATCATCATTCTCCTTTTCACGCATCCAATCTGCAGTGACTGTAATGCTACTTGACTGCTCGGCCTCTTGATCTTTACTCTCCTTCTCACACATCCAATCTGCACTGATAGTAACACTACTTGACTGTTCAACCTCTTTATCTTTATTCTCTTTCTCACGCATCCATTCTGCACTTACAGTAATACTACCGGAACTCTCGATGGGTAAAGAAATTGATTCAATAGGTGTAGAAGCCAATAAAAGATTTACATTCAAACGATTTCCATATGGAATTTGTTGATTAAGACGACGGACAAACAAATCCACCTGAATAAGCAAAGGATCAGGTGCAGGTGAAGGTACAACAACATGAGGCACTGTAGCCTGATGCGATTGGTCATGAATCGACTGTGGATAGCCAGGAAATCTCTGAGGCCCCTACACAATCGGATTCTTTGTACGGGGACGATAAAAGCGTCCCTGGCCTCGTACGACAGTTGGGGTAGACTTACGGCTACCCAATTGATCGTAGAGGGTTGGCAGGTTAGTAGATGGACAAAAAAGTTTGTAATGGGGCATACCTCTTATCCAAGTTCCCTGAGACATGTGCTTGCGTTGGTGTCCAACAAGCCCTTGACTTGAGGTGAACACCTCAAGACAGATCCTACATTTGTAATACCAAATTCCTGCAGCCCTCGTTACGAGGCCTTGATGAGCCATTTTGCTTGATGGTTGTTGTTGCTGCATTTTTTTAAAGGTTTTTTTTTTTTTTTGTGATTTTGAGAAATGAATTGGTGAAGAATAGGAGGAATGTCCATTGAAATATATAGGCTCGAAACTTTCAATAAAATTGTGTTTGCACCAGTAAGGAAAAAAATTAAATGTATTAATTTTGGTCAACAGGTAATTCAGAATCTATCTTAAAAAAATAACTCAGTAAGGTAAGAAGCTACATTGTGTTGATTATGGTCAATGGGTAGTTCGGGATATTTCTTTAAAAAGTAACCCGGTAAGGTAAGAAGTTAAATGAGTTGATTATGGTGAAGGGATAATTCAAAATATTTATTTAAAAACCAACTACATGTTTTAGATTTCTTAAACCCCAAATACAACGTTTTTTGTGCTTCCTCTTCTTTTCTCTCTTTTGCTTATTTGACTCAAACTAATTTTAGTATCTCTTTTCAGATTTTTTATTATTTTCTCATTTATGATTATAGTTATTCCTTTTTTGAACAACTCTGACTTATTTTAGATTATTATTATTATTATTACTTTAATAATGAATAATAGCATTGAATTTCATTTTCTTATATGTATCCCTAAAGATCAACACAAATTTAAATAGATTATCTATGGAACAACAAATGCTAGATAAGCACATTTTAATTTGGATATGACCAAATGCATGCAAAACAATTAATTTTAAAAAAAATCATTTTCATCACAATCTCAAATTTGTACATCATTTGTGACTTGTGAGTAATTAATTATTCTTGTGGTTAAATAAATAAAAGTTGTATCATCAAAAAATGTATCACTTATTTTTATTGAGAGGTTAGGGTGTTTGCTATTTTGTGTAATTTGATTTTCAATGAAAAAATAAAATCAAATAGGTTGATTGGAAAAATGCATAAGTGCGCCTTGAATTATAACCTGAATTTGAAGGACACATATTTCTTTCAGAGGGTCCTTGACAATGCTAGATAAGCTTATTTTGATTTGGACATGACCAAATGCATGCAAAACAATTAACCTTACTAAGTTGTATGAGTATTTTCCAACACAATCTCAATTTTGTGTCTCATTTGTGACTAGTGAAATAATTCATGTAAGTTGAATAAAAATAAGTTGTTACTACTTTTCTATGAACATATCGTTTATTTTTATTAAGGGGTCAGGGATGTTTACTATTCAGTTTAATTTGATTTTCACTTAGAAAAATTTTCACCAAGAAAAATAAAATTAAATTGGTTTAAACATTCAAACAAAATAATCAACCTAATCAGATATTTTTTTGTTTGATATTCTTTCAATTGAGCTGCTTAAGTTTTTCCTTGTCACACAAAATGCAAATTCATTTTTCATGAATTATTTATCACAAGTGAGTATATTTAACTACGTTATATTCAATTTTCATTTCTTTCTTTGTGAAATATTTATTTCCCTCCCCACTTTTAACTTTTTTTTTCTTTTTTTTGTTTCTTTTAAAAAAAAATTAATTTGCATGTATTTCTGAATAATATATTACTTTCGATATAGTTAGTATATCTTTTTGAATAAAAAAAACAAGGAAAACATTCATGAATGAGGATAAAAATGAAAAAGAAAACCATTGACATTAAATTTGAAATCAAACAAAAAAACGTGAAGAAAATAAGAAGAATAAATAAAAGCAATAGAAAATAGAAAAAACAATAAAACAAGGTAAAAATGAAAGAAAAATAAAAAATAAAGTTGAATAAAAAAAGAATATATATACACATAGTGGTGCGTATATATCACCACAACTAATTAAATTGAGTAACCCCACACAAAAGGTGCAAAGAATACAGAAAATATGAAAAAGACTAATCAAATCAGTTGTTTTGTTTGATCTTCTTCAACTAATTTTCTTAAGGTTTTTCTTTTAATATGAAATAAAATTCAATTTGTTTAAATACAAATTTGTTAATTCGGTCAAACAAGAGTTTCAAGTAAAATTAATTACCATGTGTCAATAAATAAAAATATGAAACCAAGTTATTATTATTATCTTTAATGTTTAAATATTTTTTAAATAAAATTATTTTCATTATCCAATCAAACACTGGAAAAACATAGTTCTACGAAATATTTATGTGATACCAAACATCCAAATAATTTTAGTTTTCACTTGAATGGGATGCTTAAAATTTAGAGGAAATCATAGAATTTAAGTTTTAAATGTTAATATTTTAAATGATATATTTTCAAGTGTTATTTGAAATTTTAATTTCACAACGGGCATAAGAGTTGTGATAGTAGTAATTTGATTTTATAGCCTTTATAACAATTTTTCTTGAGTAAACTAAAAAGTTTTAAAATTTCAATCAATAATTTGAAATACCTATGGTCAAATTAATCTTCCATTTTAATGTTAAACAAAGGTAAACTTATTATTTTCAAATAACTAAACATCGATTTTCAAAAAATATTTCTGCTAGATTAAACCCTTTACTTTCAAGTTTGATCCTTAAGAATCAAAGTGGATTTATAAAGGAAAGCTATATAACTAAAAATATTATTTTGATTCAAGAAGTCGCCCAAGATATTAAATTGAACACTTTGCTCTCATGTTTGATCCCTAAGAATCAATGTGGATTTGGTAAGGGAAGATATATAACTAAGAATGGTCTTTTGATTCAAAATACTAAATATGATAATATTGGAGACAATATAATCATTAAATCAATCATCTTGCTTGTGCAAATGTCATTGTCATCTTCTACGGAGGCAAAACAAAATCTACTTGAGTTTTTCGTGAAATTAGTATAGATATGAAAATAGCTTTGGCCTAAGCTTTCAAGATTATCGAAAAACATCTTGTTGAAAGAAATTTTTAAGATTATTGAAAACTATCTTGTTAGAGTCTTCTGGACATCAACACTTGAAAAATCCAAAGAAATCATTAAGGGATGCAGATATGATTGCAGCTACTTATCTATTATACCATACAACAATTCACAGCAAACATAAAAAAAATTCAACACCTCACAACAAATTACTTCTCTACTATTTTTGTAAATAAAAAAAGTACTACCAAGCGTGCAGTTCCCACGCTTGGAGAAAAATAATTATCCAAAAATGAGCTTCATCAACTTTCGATTTCTAATCAACTGGTGCACCATAACGCATTTCAGGAAGAGTCAGCGTAACCATTAAAAAATGTTTCTGAAATATTCTGAAGTAATGTCTTTATGTGCTCGACAAAATTAATGAACTTCGTATATATTGAAGGTATCACTTAGGGGTCGTTTGGTTTGAATTTAAGTTATACTGTGACTAGTTATCCTGACATTATTTCTTATTGATTGTTTGGTTTGTCGTACTAAAAATAATAATCATTGCATACTTCCTAAAAATAAGTGGTTTGATTACAAAAATACCCTCTTTTTTAGCTTTTTGTATATATTTTTTTTGAGTTGAGTTTTAGTTATTCATTCTTAAAAACAAACCTCCACCTTATTTAACTTAATTATTTTTATGTATGAATTCCCATGAATATTCTTTGTGTTCAATTATGTGCCATTTATGGAGGTATCAATACTCCACGCTAAAGAAAATGGAACTCAAGATTTTCCATCCAAAATCACTATATTTGTATGACAATACCATATGTCCAAGTCCAACAAATAATAAACTTCAACACAATTTGTTTGGGGGTTAGGAAGGGAACAAAGGCGGATCTAGGATTTCGAGTCACTGGGTGCCAAGCAGAGGCGGACTCACATGATTTGAATATTTGATAGGGGTGCACCCGTTAACTTCGAAAAAAATCGTATATATATATATACATATATCTTGAGAAATGTATAATCAACAGTGCACCAATAAGAAGCGTAGGAGTGCCCTTGTGTAGTTGGTACAAGCCAGAGGAATCACTCGCGAGAATACGGTTCAAATCTAGCTAGAGCCTTATTTCATTAATTTTATTTTAAGTTTAGCTTAGAGGTCATATTTGAGCCATTAGTGACCAAGCAAATACTACATTATTCGTTAATTGTAGTAAAAGTTTCGCTAACTACCTAAATTAAGATAGTATTGATGCACCGAAATCTTCAAATAATTCGCCTCTAATGCCCAGTAGACTCAGATTAAATCAACTTTAGATTCAGAATTATTCGTCTTATGGATGGATGGGTGAGCGGGATTGGACGACGGACTGAAGGCTGAAGCTTTGATTAATGGCAGATTTTTGTTGTTGAAAAGTTTAAAGGAACAACCAAGTTTCAATGGTGAAGAGAAAAAAAAACTTTTCTTTATGCATGTTTAATCAAATAAAAGAAAATTCAAAAATAAAATTAAATTAGTTAAAAAATAATTATTGATTAATACTTATTATTATTATTAATAATAATAATAATAATAATAATAAGTTAATAAGTAAAAAAAAATATAAAAAAACAAAAGAGAATGTGCCTTGTAGTTAAAAAAGAAACGCTCCCTGCAGCTAAAAACAAAAACCAAATAAAAAAAAAAAAAAAAACTGCCTCCAGTTGGAAAAAAAATTAAAACAAAAAGCTGCTAGTGGGGTTCGATCCCGCGAACTTAGACCCGAAAATATGATCGCTTACCACTGGCACCAGAGAACACTTTTGTTTACTGGGTGGCACATTTATTATTTATACATATGGTGTGTATAAATACCTATATATAAATAGAGTTTCCGTCGAAGCCTGTGGGTGGCGTGGCACCCCACGGGTCTTAATAGATCCGCCCCTGGAAGGGAAGAGCCGCCCATTTCCCATCTTAATAGTAGTGTATATATTGGGTGATTGACCCTTTCTTCACAACGAGCTAGCAGAAGCATGAATAGGTAAAGTCGTTCTTTTTTAATTAGACGTAATGAGATATGTAGTCGTTGAAGAAGTAGAGGAAACAGAAATATCAGCAGGAACTAGTATTTGAAGGGCAATTTTGTCATTTAATAAATTTATCCCATGACAAATAATGAATGGGATTATTATACCACCCCTTGGAAGGGATAACTTATCCCGGTACTATTTATT